TGAGGGCACTTGGAGCCCTGGGCTGGAGAGTAGGTAGCCAGGCACCCTCCAGTTCTTCTGGTCTCTGGGTCACCGACTGAGTGAGGTTCGAGTGGTCCATCGGTCCATTGGACTCTCCATGCATCTTCGCATTTCTTTGCTCTGGGCAGGGGAGGCCAGTGTTCACACTGTGCGAACTTTTAAGACCCCACTTGCCCCTCATCAAAGTCGGTGTAGACCACTGCCTTTATGGACCGTGCTGTGTCCGTGGACCTGCGTGGTTCTGGAGACCATGGCCCTGAGGAGGTCCGGCATCTCTTAGAGAGTCTAGGACTGGGATTTGATTGTCACCAAGGTAAGTTTGGATGGGACAAATAGGGTGGATCACCCTACCTGTGGGTGAGGGGCCAGGGCCGACAGCCTGCCTGACCAGGTGACAGGAGTGATGGGGCCCTGTCTTCCTCCAATTCCCTTCAATTGCAGTGAAGCTGCCCTCCACAAAGCTCTGCCAGGAAGAGAGTGGTCCCCAGAGGGTAGAACCGGAGCACAGACACAGAAGAGAAAGGAAAACTAGAATTGTCTTGACTGGCAGGGCCAGCACAGAGCGCTACAGAACTGTAATTTCTCCAGTTCATCGACAGCCCCGTTCAGTTGGGAGGTCCACTGTCAGCCCCACGAGGGCAGGTGCTTAGAGACAGGCTCACAGGCTCTTACCAGCCAGTTGGTCGTTGCGCCTGGTGGAGTCTCAGGGAGTTGCTATGCCAACTAAACTAGTCTCCCATCTGCACCTTGACCCTTCTATTCCCTCAGCCCCTGGTTCACCACGGGCTGCCAGCACTCCTCAGGTCACACTGCTGGAATACAGACCGTCAGGCCCTCTGTCAAGGTCAAGCCCTGCTTCCTCAGGCGCTAAGCTCGGCTGCCCTGCCCATCACAGCCTCCCGGGGAGCCTTCCTGTAGAGCCTCGTACGTGCCAGTGAAGCAGCAGGGACACAGTGGCAGCAGCAGGTTTTATTTGGGGAGAGGAAAGGGGCGGGTGAGCCTGTGAGGACAGAGGAGGTGGGGAGTCAGGTGCCTTCCTGTGTCCTCGCCCCCATCGGCCTGACCTTTTCCCAGTGGTGGCTGGGCCTCCATGACCCAGGTCAGGGGTGCTGCCTAGAGTCCAGGCCCAGGAGCCACTGGGAGCAGAGGTGAGCAGAAGGCCCCAAACCTGGGCTGTTGTCTGGGTAACTGCTCACCCTGAGAGACCAGGGTTACCTTGTTTCTGACGAAAGCTAGGTCTGCCCCTCCTCGTTTTGTGGTTTCTCACTCCAAAGGGTGGGAGTGGAAACTCAAGGTCAATGTTAGCTTGGAAGGAGGGCAAATGCCCAGATGAAGGTCATTCAGCAAATAGTGGCTCTT